AACTGATCCTTATTTGTGAGTGAATTGGTTTGTGCGATTTGAAGCTTGCACACGTGCAGGGAAACAAACTGTTGTTTTTAGTTAAAATAATGCTAAAATTCATGATGTTCTGCACCATCTTACCTCATAAAATCTGAATGTTACTGATGTTTTTGGTGGTGGAGACCAAAAACAGAGCATAAAGAGCAAATCTAGTCCACAGATGGGCAGAATAACAACTGTAACTGTACTGAAATGTGTAAAAAAAAAAAAAAAGAAGCATAAATGGTAGCACAAGAAAAAAATTAAATAAATTAATCCAGATGCTCATGCAGCATGTCTGCTGTATGATCAATACTCTGAATTTAAGAGAAGAAAAACACAGTTAAATTAGCTTTTTTTTTGTTGTTGTTGTCCAGTTTCAAAAAAACAACTCGTTTTCATGATTTCAGATACTTTAACTCATCCTGAAAAATAGTGATGGACGGATTGATTAAAAATATCGATGTATCGATGTGGTATATATATATATAATTTTTACACTACTCACAATAAGTTAGTGATATTGTGAGAGACTCAGTGGATTTCATACATACAGTCTTTGTTTCACTTCAGAGATTTCTGGGACAGGGAGGCTGTTGTATTGGGCTGACAGACACACCTCATTTTGTGTTTTCCATGTAATGGTCTCACTGTGTACAGTGTGCCTTACATATTGGGGCCAATACCAAAAAACTAGAAGACAACCCTTTTCAATGTGGCACCAATTTCAACGTTTTGTGGGTATAAACAGCTGGTATTGTCAGTAAGTCATTTCAAGTTCATCGTTCAAAAAGCCATGAACACACGACGGCACTTAACGGGCGAGCGGTCTGATGTTGCTCGTGAACTTGGTGTGTCTCAAAGTGTCATCAGCAGACTTGCATCAAGACACAGAACTACTGGTACAGTTCGTGACAGACGCAGGAGTGGGGCCCCAAGAGTGACCGACCGCAACGATGACCAGTACCTCAGGACCTATGCACTCAGACATCGCTATGCAAGTGCCACAGAGCTGCAGGCCCGTGTACGAGATGTGAGGGGTACTAGGGTTTCCAGACAAACCATTCGCAACCAACTCCACCGCTTTGGCTTGAATGCCAGACGACCGTTGCAGGTGACTCCACTGACACCAAGACACCNCAGCTCACATGTGACCAAACCACAGTGCAAACAAAAGTGCAAAAACTGCCATGTTTCGCTGTCACACACACAAAATAAATCTGTTTTCACAGAACCTGCACATTTCTTTGGCTGGATGTTTTTCTGGATGATCTCCGGATTCAGATTCAGTTTGTAATTCAGATACGACAAATATAGTCAGTGTGTTTTTCTTTGCAGCAGCAGCAGGACTGTTGAAACTTGTCGGAGGTATTTCAGACAATAAAGGTCATGTGTGATGGTTAGTAAAAAAAAAAAAAACGACCAGCCTGCCAAGTCACCATGACAACATCACGCCACACACAGCCTCCATGTTGAAACCTGGATGTACAGACACATTGCTCAACCTGCAGACGTTTCAGGGTGTGTTTGAGCAGATTAGTGGGATTCAGGTGGGTTTAGTTTACTTCATTTGGCCTGATGATGCAAAAATATTGCAGAGCTACATGAAACAAACCCAAACCAAAGAGTGTTTATGGTTTTAAAGAGGCTGAGATCCACTCTGGGTCGATGCATTTGTTCTTAGCTGACGTTAATAATGTATTGGAAGAACAAAGAGGATAAAGTCTCAGTTATTTTACCTCATCGAAGCAAAAATATCTACAGTTTAGGCGTGAATGATGTCTGTCTTCTTTTTGTTTTCTGCTTCGATCCCAGATTCATTTTCAGGGACATAAACGTAGATGCAGTTTGTGTTCTGAACTCTGGAAAACTGTGCAGTGTTTTTGAAGGAAGCAGGAAGAGAGACGTGAATTGTTGTGTCCATCTCCAGAGGACTGTAACCTGCTGCAGCAGCCAGGAAACGGTTCATTCAAAGCGCTGCCTTCTGCTGGGCTGCAGGGAAACGTAAAGCTGAGCTGCAGTCTCGTCCTTCACAAGAAACACAACAGGAAAATGCAGCAACTCTTATGTAATGCAATAATAAACCTGCAGTTGAGTTGTTTCTGTCTGTGTCTTGTTAAAAGTAGAATTTGCTGGAGAGCTGGAGAGCGACATCCAGTGTTACTGACATTTTCTTTTTTTGTTCCCCCTCTGTGGAGCTCTACTGAACTCACCAGCAAACACCTTCATCATCCGTGTTTGAACCTCAGAGCGTTTCTTTTTCTGAAGACTTAATTAGCTGATTTGCTCTTCATATCAACACGACCTCCTCCTTCCCTCTCGTATCGTGTTGTGTCTGTCGCTGCCGACTTGAAAAGATAACAAGCTGCTTATTCATGCTTTGAAGAACCTCAAGGTCAAGCTGCTCTCTTCTCCCGCTCTGTGCGCAGCAAACACAAAATGAGCAAAAAGAGACGCACATCAATCACAAAGAAATGAGAATGGACCATAAAGAGACAAAAATCAACACAAAAAGACAAAAACTGGCTGCAAAGACACAAAAGATGAAAATAAAGAGACAGAGTCGACCACAAAAATGCAAAAAACAGCAAAAGAGACACAAAACGGCTGCAGAAATGCAAAATAACAATGAAGAGACAAAAACTACCACAACAAGATGACCACGAGGAGAAAAATAAAGACACACAAAATGAAAATAAAGAGATAAAGTGACCCGAACCCAAAGATCCACGAAAGAACAAATGAGACACAAGACGACGACTGAGATTTAAAAAAAAAAAAGATTTAAAGGTGTAAAATGGTTACAGACAAATGTGAAACAGCCACAGAGACACAAAATGGCTTCAAAGCAACAGACAAAAACCACAAAAAGACGCAAAACCAACCTAATGTCAAGCAAAGAGATGTAACATGACCATGTAGAGACACAAAGTGACAGTAAACAGACAACAGCAATCCAAAAAAGGCTAAACAACTGCAAAGAGATGCAAAAATGACAACGAAATAATATAAAGAGACACAAAACAGCTACCGAGACGACCACACACAGACTCACAATAACCGCAGAGAGACGCAAAACAACTGCAAAACGATACAAAAACACGACAAAGCAGCAAAAAACAAAACAACTGGATGCAAATCGAACACAAAGAGATGCAACGTTAAAATAAAAAGACGTAAAATGACCACAAAGATGGAAAACGACTACAAAGACATGAAGAATGACCAAAAACAGACATGCAGCAATCACCAAAGGAAGATTCTTTAGAGGATTTGTAGATTTTGTTTTTAATTTTCTTCTGTCAGCCTTCAGCCCAAGTCCTGATCACATGACTATCAGTTTCTTCCTCAGTGCAGCAGATTGTGATGAAACGCTGCCGCCTGGTGGTGAAACCAGAGATCACAGCTTCTTTATTTCCACAACCTGCAACGTGATCGTTTCTATTCCGACTGCAGGCGCTCCTGTGAATGTGAGTTATTTTATCCATGTTCCTCGTGGCTCTGTGCAGGTGGAGAAGTACCTGGAACGTTTCCGTCTCTCTCTGGAGAAGCTGAAGGAAGTTTCCGCCCGGCTGAGGAAGGATCTGATCCGAGGTTTGGGCAAACACTCGCATCACAGGGCCGCCGTCAAGATGCTGCCCACCTTCGTCAGGGCCACGCCGGACGGGACGGGTGAGTTTACTTCCTTCACCACAGAAACACTACTTGCATATTAAATAAATAATATTTGCATATTAAGTGTATAAACTATGTCCTGCCCTGAGCTCGCTGGAAGTAAAACATGAAACCTTCAACCCTCTGGCAAGTTTAAAAGGCATGTTGTCTTGAAGAAATCACCAAGATGACACCATCTATCAGAGCCAGAAACTGAAAAACAAACAAAACAAAGTGCAGATGTTCACCTCCAGTGGTCCTCAGACTGCTCACCTGTGACCTGCAGCTCCATCAGAAGAATTAGCTAGAATTTAAACTTAAATTTAAACGAGACAAAAACGCTTCTTCGGTGAATCCAAACATTTCTGTGTTCTGAGGAGACGCTTGATTGAACACAGTTAATTTAACTCCTGGATGTTTTTAAATCTGCCAGAAGAAGGAATCCTGTTCTCTGCAGAATGTCGTCTGGAGCTTGATCTGAATACATGTTGGTAATTTTGGTTTTGAGAAAATGCCCTGCAGCTTTCTTCTACTTGTCTGTACATTATTACACATGATGCAGTTTCCTGAAAAACAGCGTAAAACTCCGTAGCCAGAAGAAAAACCTCCTTTTTCAACAGATTTTCTGGATTAATTATTCCACAGTTTCATAGTTGTTAAACAAACGCCGTCACATTTTCACCTCAGCAGAGATTAAAACCATCTGTTTGCGCTGATTTTCATGTACATTTCTGCCGTATGACCCTTGGAAGGTTCCGCATAGTTCAGATGTTTTATGATGATTCACTTCATACTGTAAACATGCAGGCAGCTGGAACTTTGCTGCATTTTATGAACATACAGTTGAAACCAGAAGTTTACATCCACTGTATAAAAAGACACAAATCCTCTTTTTGTTTCTCACTGTCTCACATTAAATCAGACTAAACTGTTCCTGTTTTAGGTCAGTTAGGATGACCAACATTATTTATATTTGCTAAACACCAGAATAATGAGAGAGAGGATTTTTTATTACTTTCTTCAAAGTCAGAAGTTTACATCCACTAAGATGCCTTCAAACTATTTGGTAATGCCCAGATGATGATGTCATGGCTTTGGAAGCTTCTGATTGGTTCATTGACAACATGTGAGTTAACTGGAGGCACACCTGTGGATGTATTTTTTAAGGCACACCTCAAACACACTGCTTCCTTTTGTGACAACATGGAAAATCCAAAGAACTCATCCAAGATATCAGGAAGAGAACTGTGGACCTCCACAGGTCTGGTTCATCCTTGGGTACAGTTTCCAGATGCCTGAAGGTTCCACGTTCATCTGTTCAAACAGTTATATCAAGTATGAACACCATGGGAATGTCCAGCCATCATAGGCTCAGGAAGGAGACGGTTCTGTGTCCCAGAGATGAAGTGTTTTAGTTTGAAATGTGCGAATCAACCCCAGAACAAAAGCTAAAGACTTTGTGAAGATGCTGCTGAAGCTGGTCAGAGAGTCATTATCCACAGTGGAACCAGTCCTGTACCGACATGGACTGAAGGATACTCAGAGAGGAAGAAGACATCACTCCAGAAGAAACATGAAAAAGACAGATTACAGTTTGTAAATGCACACAGAGACAAAGAGCTTCACTAGTGGAGACATGTCCTGTGTTCTGATGGAACTAAACCTGAACTGTTTGGCCTTAATGACCATCGTTACATCTGGAGGAAAAAGGAGGAAGCTTGAAGCCTGAGAACACCATCCCAACTGTGAAGCACGGGGGTGGCAGCATCATGCTGTGGGGATGTTCTGCTGCAGGAGGGACTGGTGGACTTCACAAAATAGATGGCATCATGAGGAAAGAAGATTATGTAGAAATATTGAAGCAACATCTCAAGACATCAGCAGGAAGTTACAGTTTGGGCACTAATGGGTCTTCAGATGGACAATGAGCCTCAGCATAGCACCAGATTAGTTCCAGAGAGGCTTCAGGACAACAAAGTCCATGTTCTGGAGTGGCCATCACAAAGCCCTAATCTCCATCCTGGAGAACATTAGTGGAGCAAGGAGACCAACAAACCTGACTCAGGTCCACCAGTTCTGTCAGGAGGAATGGGCCAGAACTCATCAAACTATTGTGAGAAGCTTGTGGAAGGAAACCCAGAACGTTTGACCAAAGTCATGGAGTTTAAAGGCAACGTTACCAGATACTGAGGAGATGGATGGAAACTTCTGACTCTGAAGAAAGTCATAAAAAATCCTCTCTCTCATTATTCTGGCGTTTAGCAAATATAAATAATGTTGGTAATCCTGACTGACCTGAAACAGGAAAAGTTTATTCTGATTTAATGTCAGACAGTGAAAAAAAAAAGGCTTTAAGTCTTTTTATACAGTGAATGTAAACTTCTGGTTTCAGCTGTAAATGCTTGAATAGTCACTTCGCTCCATCATCTGCTCGGTTGCTCTTCACTGCAGAAAAAGGCGACTATCTGGCGTTGGATCTCGGCGGGACGAACTTCCGGGTTCTTTATGTCCGTGTGGTGGAGGAGCAGCAGAAAGTTCTGAAGATGGACAGTAAGATCTGCAGCATCCCGCAGGAGATCATGCTGGGAACCGGAGAACAGGTGACACATACGACACCAACAAATAGTGAGACAGTCCACGAGTACAACAGTGTGATGGGAAGGAAGAAAAAAGCATCAAATTCAGCCCAAAGTGACACTTTTTAGTGTTTTGTTTTGGCTCAACCTCAACAATCTGGAAAAATTTCACATTTTGAAATAGTGAACATTTGCTGCTTAAAAATGCTGAATTTGTAACTATGCAGAAAAAAACAGCATGAAGTAGTCTGAACAACACATTATCAGAGAGAAGCTAAAGAACATCTGTCTGTGTGTCCGTCCAGCTGTTCGACCACATCGCAGAATGTCTCAGTGAATTCCTTGAGTCTCAGGACCTGAAGGGACAAACTCTTCCTCTGGGCTTCACCTTCTCCTTCCCCTGCGAGCAGAAGGAAATCGACAAGGTCTCACACAGCAAACACACAACAAAGACACGACACACACACTCTCTGATCTGCCTAAGGTTTGACCGCAAAGAGACAAAAACTACCAAAACCAGACCCAAGATGACCATAAAGAGAAAAAATACAATCACAAAGACACAAAACCACCATAAAGAGACACCAAAAAGATAAAATGTAGACGCAAAACCAGGCACAAAGAGATGCAAGACAAACCAAAGAGACAGAAAAACAACCAAAGAGATGCACAACAAGCAGAAAAAGACTCCAAATGGCCAAAATGTGACACAAGACAACTACACTGATTGTACTGCTATTTCATTTCATTTGTTGCGTCTTATTTATGTTTGGCTGCACAGAGCATCCTGATCCGCTGGACCAAAGGCTTCAATTGCTCCGGTGTGGAGGGACAAGATGTGGTGAGGCTTCTGAAAGAGGCCATTCACAGGAGAGGGGTCAGTGTTTCTATAAAAACACTAGAAACTGTCATATTTAATCCTTTACAGGCTCCGTTTCTCTGCTCTCTGTT